TGCTTTGTTTCTCTAAGTGCACACCCCCTCTAAGTGCACGCTATCACTCATTCCCGAGGGGGGTGCACTTAGAGGGGGTTGACTGTATATGCCAGGTTTTGTTCCCTCAAGTTTTTTTATGAGAATCATTCTTTTGGAGCTCTCTGAGTTTGATATTCCGACTTCCTGTGGTGAATGTTGGACTCAAGATATAATAAACATTTCAAAAACTTGATGCAAAAATCGAATTTAAAATTTAATTTCTTTAAATGAAACTTCATCGGAAGTTCAAGATGCACAAAATGCTAGTGATAAATCACAGCAGGGATTACTTTTTAATGTAATAATAACAACTCAAACATTAATAAAAATTTGGGTGAAATTGACAGATAGATATTTAGATGACTCATTTGAATGGTGGAATGAGCATAAAAGGGATTCTACAATTCTTTCAGAACTAACCAACCTCAGCTCCTAGTGAGAAGTTGTTCAGCATTGTTGGTAATAAATAATATTACCAATAAACGCACACAAACTTTGAAGCCAAGTATTGTAAAAAATTGATTGATCTTTTTAAAACAGACAGAATATAGAAAAAATGAATAGCTTTAATGATCTCATTTTTATGCGTACATTTGTACATTCTAACTTTTATTTGTCGAACCCTGGTAAGTTGGATCTAGGAAGAAGAAGAATAAAACTCTTATCATTATTGAAATTCTTAATGAAACAATCATTTTAAATAATAATAATAAGTTAGCAGATGTTTACCTTGACTTGGATATACGATACCAGCTGCAGTTTGACTAGGTGGTGCTGGAATTTGTATTGATTCAAGTGGCGGCAGAATAAGCCCTTGAGATACAGTAACTGCTTCTATTTCTGATTTAGGCCCTGTAGGTCTTGGTCTACCCCAAGATATTTTCAAATCATGGTCTTTAATATTTAAATTATTATGTGATTTTTCTACTGCTTGTTCAGCTGAAGCCCTGGTTGCATAATTAACAAATGCACATTTTGATTTATGTACAACTACAACTGATTTGATTTCTCCAAAAGCATAAAAATGCCCCCTAAAAAAATTAATTGAACAGCAAGAAAAAAAAAATTAGAAAAATAATGTAATAAAAAGATAATATGAAATAATCAATTTATACCTTAGATCTGATTCTGTAATGTCATCTTCTATTCCTGTAATAAATAATGAAGTCTAAAATATATTTTTATATTAATGTTACACTAATTAAAATTAAATTTTATTATTATATTGTATTGTGGGAAAAGCATGAGCAAATGAATCAATGATAACATACTATAGTTTTATCTTCAGGAGGGGTAATGTTTGAACCACCACCACCTTTTACCCGATTAAGCATTTTCTTGGCAACTGGATCATTGGTTCCATAATATCTATCTTTAATGTTTTGATGTGACAACTCATTTTCTTCGGGTATTTCATGCCTTTATTCCCACCAAAAAACAATCGTGTATAAAAACAGGTTAAATAATTAAACTGTCACCCAAAAAGCAAATCACTCAAATCAAAAATTACCCACCTGTAAGGACATTCGTCGCCACGTGTGCAGTTTCCTTTAACATAAAATGAACAAATATGTGGTCTATTTCGTTTGTAATAAGGTTCTGTTCTAGCTAATTTTTTTAGCATGTCTTTTCCTGCTGAATCAGCCTTTCCATAATTTATAAGGCTTTCTGGACCCGAAATCTTATATAACAAAAAGTGATTAATTGATGGAGAAACAAAAATTAAATAACTAAATTCATTTAAAAAGAAATAATTTTATATCACCAACCTTTCCTTCAATATTTTGTGCAAAGTACTCTCTGTTAATATCAGATCTAGGCGCATCATTAGTAACATTAAGAGCAGTATCACGAACTTGAACTGGAAGATTATATTGTAAATCCAATAAACATGTTTGACAGACATTTTTTAATTTTGCACAGGTTTGACATATTTCTGTTTTTTTATATCTCATTCCAGCACCAGGAAGCCATCGGAAAATTGTAAAAGGACGAGAGCACACCTATCGCAAAAACCAATAAAAACAATAAATAATCGAAGAAATAAATTTTAAAAGTCAAAAAAATAAAAAACTCACTTTACATTCTTTACCATAACATTGTTTAGTCTTTAAGAAAAAAAGTTTCATCAGTCAAAAATTTAAAATGAATATGTAAATAATAACAATAGGTAATACATACCATTCGAACGTAAGGGTTATCTCCCAAACAAGTTTCGCAAAGGATTGGAAATTCCTAAAATAAAAAATAATAATAAATAAATAGAATGACAACCAAAGAAAAAAGCTATTTTTATTTTTTGATCTGAATTGTTAAAACTTTACAGATTCTTCCCATCCTTGCTTGTTTGGATCAGATTTGTGTGCCATTTGTCAAAAAATTAAAAAAATTAAGACTCTTTAAAATGTATTTTTTGGGAATATTTGCACCAATTATTTAATATTTATATATTCAATTACATAAATTTCTAAAAAATTTTTCTTTGATTGTAAAATTAGGGTGTCAACTACAAATAGTTCACTTGGTTAAGTAAGGTCCCTAAAAATTATTACAAGAAAATATAATTTTAGTCTGCTAAAAATAGTATGGAACGAAAGAAACTTACCTTTTCACTGTTAAAAAATTTTATAAACCTGTTTTGTTAAAAATTTTGTAATTTTTTATAGAAAAAAATCGAAAACAGTTTTTGATTTCTGGGATAAAATTTAGCATCACGATTGTCAAAAACATCATCATCATTATGAAAGCTTACCAAACGTCAAAATAGTAACTAAAAATGCGGGAGATTCTAAAGCACAAAAAATTTAAGATTCTAATGTTCTTTAAACTTGACGTAATCGAAGAAAAGTTTTGAATTAGTAATTTATAATTTTTATAATTAATTGTTCTATTCAATCCATATTTTATATATTCATAATAAAATTTTATTTCCCTTTGAATTAATTTCGTAACATATACCTGGATAAAAAAATACCCTCAAACACACCACCATCCAACCATGTTTAAATCAATAGTAAATTAAAAAGGTTTGGTTGGTTTTCCAAGTTAATTATTATTTAATTCGTTTACAAATACATTACATCTTACTTCACTACATGAGAACTAACAAATTGAATCCATATACCACTTTGAAATTGAAAGTAAATGTTATAATGTGTATTTAACATAATAATAATATCACTATTTTCTTCTACCCTCTTAATATTTAATGTTAATAATAATATTAATGACATTTGAAATTGGATTTGTTTAAAAATTTCAATTCGTACAAGCAAAGTCAAAACTTTTCTTCTACGCTTTTAATACTACCATTAGTTTTTGCTTGCTTCCCCTTCTAGTTGAATATAGAAGGATCCTTAAAGGATCCCTAATAGTAAATCAAGGAATCTTCGGGGATATTTTTCAAGGGTTCTTCGCGGGCGGCGAAGGATCCCTACTAATAAAAATTTGGGGGAATCCTTAAACTCGAAAGTTTCCTGATGCATTTACCAGAATTTCCATAGAAATTTTTATATGTAGGGTAGGAAAGTAATCAGATTTTGTAAAGTCCATGAAAGAAAAATGTACAATTCAAAAATATAATAATTAACTGTGCACACTTTATTCAAAATCTGTGACCAACAGTTGGCTATGATCGTGACCACTATTATAAAACGCGAAATATGATATTCAATTAAGAATAGACTGTTATAATTTTAAAATAGATTCACGTGTATATATATTGCATTCTTTCTCAAAAAAAATAAGATTAATTAGGGATATGATAGAAATCTATATATACACACTAGGTATATATATTTTTAATCTATTTATCAACTTGTAAACAATGCATTCTCCTTTTTCTCCACTCCTCGTTAACTCCATAATATATAATAAATATACAAATAATATATAAAATATAAATTATATGAATTATATAAATAGCCTAAATAGAAATTCTTAAGTCCATAAAAGTAAATAATTTATTTAATAGCAGTAGTAGTATTGTTAATATTATCTTCTTTCTTAATGATTTCTACATAATTAGCTGGAAACAATCCTTGCTCCCCATTTCTTAAACGGCCTCTCCACCATTGAGAAGGTTGTCCCCACATATCTACCTTACTCAAAATAGCAATTATATCACCACGCTGGAATGTTAATTCAACCTGTGACTCCCCTCTAAAATCATAAGTTGCTTGACACATTTCAAGATTGGCTAATAAATTATTATTATTATTACTACTACCAACATCATTAATATTATCATTTAGAATAGTTTTGGAAGAAGAATTTGCTAAATCAAATGATAAGTTTTGTTGTTGCTGTTGTTGACGTCTACCAGCAGAGAAAGCATGTATAAATTTATGCATAAGATATGGTAATCCAAAAACTGCAATTACAAAAAATAATAAAGGTCGTCGAGAATATTTACGTTGCTCTTGAAATTGTTGATAATCAGCCACATTCAAATTACTAGGATCAACTGGTGGCTGTCTACCGGTCAGTTTGTAAAATAAATGCTTTATCCATCTAATCAATGCAAAAATACTTAAAACTTGACCCAAATAATTTCTCAAACTGCCAAATTGATCAACAACTCCAACCATTGCCATAAATGATGAATGTGTAGCAAAATATGTTGATTCCAACATTTGAGCAAATCCACCAAATGCATTCACTATTGACTCAATCATTTGAAAGCCTGCTGCTGTATTGGCCTCCATTCGTTGTGTAAGTGACATTTCATCTGGTCCACCTGGTCCCATCATTCCACCACCGCCACTACCATGACCAAAGCGATTATATGGTGAACCATATGAATTATAAGAGCCATATCCACCATATCCACCACCATATGAACCATATCTACTGTATGGCGATGAATAACTTCCATACCTAGAGTATGGTGACCCATAAACACCACCATACGAGCTGCCATACGAGCTACCATACGAGCCGCCATACGAGCTGCCATATGAGTTATAACTAGAGTATGGTGAATATCCTGTACCATAAGATCCATAATCTATGTATGATTAATTGATTATTAATTAATATTAATTTGACCAAAGCGATTATATGGTGAACCATATGAATTATAAGAGCCATATCCACCATATCCACCACCATATGAACCATATCTACTGTATGGCGATGAATAACTTCCATACCTAGAGTATGGTGACCCATAAACACCACCATACGAGCTGCCATACGAGCTACCATACGAGCCGCCATACGAGCTGCCATATGAGTTATAACTAGAGTATGGTGAATATCCTGTACCATAAGATCCATAATCTATGTATGATTAATTGATTATTAATTAATATTAATTTATATTTGATTTAATTGATTTCAATAAACTTACTTCTATTTGTTGTACCAGTATTCATTGATGTAGTAGTAGGTCTGGGCGGAACAACTGGTGTTGAATCATTATTATTGATGTTGTAATTGTTGGTTGTAGTAGAACTATTTAATATAGGAGGACCTTGTAAATTTGATGGTGTAGATCTAGAAATTGCAAGTTGGTTGGGGTTATTATTGTTGTTGTTGTTGTTATTATTATTATTATTAGCTCTTTCCCATGGTTTTGGAGGTGAGGGGTTACTTATTTGTTGAGTTGCCATTTATATGATCTCAAGTTTTTTTTTTCTTTATATAAAACATAGAAATTCGTGCAACACGCACATTGAGCAAATTATAAAATTATAATTGCACAGTTTTTCCGCAAGTTCAAACTTTATAGATCTCCTAATTCTGTGTATTACATTGAAAAAATTGAAAAAAAGACAAACAAAAAAAAAAACAAGCAAATATGGAATACGAGGACGTTTTGACTAATCAACCTGTTGTAATCGATAATGTATGTATATAAAAGAGATGTGTATATCATATAAGTAATGGTAGAATAATTTTCTTATTTCATTTTGTTATTCTTCTTAAGGGCTCTGGGGTGATTAAAGCTGGTTTCGCCGGTGATGATCAACCAAAATGTCTTATTCCCTCATAGTATGCATTATTTATTAAATTCAAATAAGACTTTTATATATATGTATGTATTTCAAGAAAACATAATATTTGAATTTTTAAAAAAAAAGTGTTGGACGTCCAAAACATGTACGTATTATGGCAGGTGCTGTAGAAGGTGATGTTTTTATTGGACGTAAAGCTCAAGAGTTACGAGGACTTCTCAAAATAAAGTATCCGATTGAACATGGAATTGTATCTGATTGGGACGATATGGAACGTATATGGAAATATATTTATGAGGAAGAATTAAAAACTGCTCCAGAAGAAGTATGAATATTATTATTATTATATAATAACGTGAACAAACACATGCATTTAATTACAATGGTTTCTGTTTATTAGCATCCAGTCCTTTTGACTGAAGCTCCACTTAATCCAAGAAATAATAGAGATTCTGCTGCACAAATGTTTTTTGAAACGTTCAATGCACCAGCTTTGTTCACATCAATTCAAGCTGTCTTGAGTCTGTAAGTATAGATGCAGAGAAAGAGATAATCTTTTTTTTTAAAAAAGTTGAAAATTTTTTGTTTATAAAAAAAAATTTTTACGTTAGTTATTCTTCAGGTCGAACAACTGGTATAGTCCTTGATTCCGGTGATGGTGTAACTCATGCTGTACCAGTATATGAAGGATTTGCTCTTCCTCATGCTATTCGTAGAGTTGATATTGCAGGCCGGTAAAGTATTATTATTAATAATATTACTATATTTCTATTTATTATTAATATTAGCACATTATCAATCAACAACATTATCAACACTATTTACTGTTACTATAATTATCATTATATGACTGACTTTCTTTCTCTTTTCTCAAAAAAAAAAAAAAAAATTTTTTTTATAGTGACGTTACAGAATATTTACAATTACTTCTTCGTAGATCTGGTTATAATTTTCATACCACTGCAGAAAAAGAAGTCGTACGTACCATAAAAGAAAAGACTTGTTATGTTGCAATAAATCCGAATAAAGAAGAAAAAGATACCAGTAGAGAATTTAGTGATTATGTATTGCCTGATGGTAATGTTGTCAAGGTAAATAAATGTATACAATTTTTTTTTTGGAATTAATTAACCAACTTTTAAAGCTATTTATTATTATAATTTATTACAATACTGTAATAGTTGAAAACTGAAAGATTTAAAGCACCCGAAATCTTATTCAATCCAGAATTGATTGGAGAAGAGTATGCAGGCGTTCACCAAGTTGTTGTTGATTCAATTAATAGAGTAGATTTAGATTTAAGAAAGTCTTTATTTGCAAATGTTGTGTTGTCTGGTGGATCAACACTTTACAAAGGTAAATTTATTATTAAGATGTGTGTGCATGTACATATGTAATATATTTTGTTTTACTTTACTTATTGTTATTATTATTATTATCACCATTATAATTATCATCATCATCATTACCATCATCAAGATTTTGGTACAAGATTGCTGAATGAGGTGAGGAAATTGGCCGTCAAAGATATTAAAATTAAGATTTATGCACCTTCAGAAAGAAAATATAGTACATGGATAGGTGGATCTATATTAGCAGCTCTAAGCACTTTCAAGAAGGTAATACAAAAAAAACCAAATTATCACATCATCATTGATAACATATTAACATATGTTTAAATTTGTTTAGATGTGGGTTTCAGCTGAAGAATATCAAGAAGATCCTGATATCATTCATAAAAAAAGTTTCTAAAAAGTTTTTTATTAAATAACAATAACCCTAATTTATTACCATTTGGTTTACTATTTATTTACTATATATATATATTTTATAATTTATTTTATGATTCTTCCTTCTTCCTTCTGTAACATTTAAACAATAAACTGCATGAATATATTTATATTGAATTTTTCTTTGATTTTCTTTTTTTTTTTGGAAGTTAGCCGTTTTAGGAATGGTCATTTCCACATTATGCATTTAATTAACAATAATGCTAGAGCAAACTAAATAAATTTATTTATTGATCTACAACATCCATTGATCTACAAACTCAGCTCCAAATACAGTCGGATCTCCATAAATGCACACTCTCCATACTCTGCACTGCACGGTATTTTTTCAGTCCCACTCATATGAAAACTCCCTCCATAAATGCACCCCACATGACTAATGTATAAAATTCATCGTGTAACTAGGATAAATTTAGAAATCATCGGCAAAATTTTTGATTTGATTGGATAATTTCCAATATGTAATGTAATCCAATTTCATGACTGTGTCACTAAATGCTTTCATAAAATGCAAGTTGATGAATTTTTGAATATCCCTGAAGAAAATATTGTCTGTGAGGTTCCAGATGATGATAAAATAATCAAAGAACTTGCAGAAATATATAAAAATAAAATGAATGTACCTGCTGACAATTTTGAGAAGATGACATTAAGCCTTGAGGAAGCATTAAAGGTCTTGAAACTGTACATTCATTTTTATTACAGCAAGAAAAATAATACTACAAACAAATAAAATTGGTTAATAAAATTGAAAGATATATCAATATAAAAAAAAATAATTCATCAAAACAAACTACAATGGATAGTTATTTTAGTATTACTGTATTTAAAATATTGTGTATCATTTGTGACCAATGAAATTGCTTCTCTCCATAAATGCGCACCCTCCATAAATGCACACTGTCTCTTGGTCCCAAGGGGGGGGTGCATTTATGGAGGTCTGACTATATATTGATTGGTTATGTGATTTTTTTTTGTGATTTGCATATCACTTACAGAATTTCCGAAATTGATGTAAAGAACATAGTAAACATATTGTTTTCAAAACACTACTCCTCCTCCGTTTTCAAATATATAGGCATTAAATTTCCATGAAAGGTAGTATATACATTATACTTTAGAGCTATGGAAAGATTTAATGGATTAAAAATACCAGTGGCATAAAAAACTCATTTGAAATACAGAAAATTTCTTTTTTATCATAATACTTCTATCTATTGCAACTTCTGAAAAAATTGTATGAAATAAAGATTCTCTCTCCATAGCACTGTTCTACAAATGTATCCTGATCAAAAACCTCTAATTATTTTATAAATGTAACGATTTTCCAGAAGCCTTAGTGATTGAAAGTTCATAATACTATTAAAACATGCTGTTTTCAAACCACTATATAGCAGAAATGTAATTTGAAAATTTTATTAATTTATGGCGTTGATGATTATGAAATGAGATGTATTTTCATCTACAAACCTTTTAAAACTTGATATTTCATTACATATTTGACCAATATCTTCTCTAACTTTTTCAAGTTTATATAATTTTTTTTTCATGTCATTAAATAATAGTTTGGTTGGCTCATCCAATTCTTGATAACGCTCATAATCCTCATAATCATCATAATCTACATAATCCTCATAACTGTCATCATCTTCAATTATATCTGGAAGATTACTCCTTGCTTCTAAATAATTGTTCACTTCAATCAAATACGATTCATTTAATTCATCATGAATTTTCTTAAACTTTTTAATTATTCTTACATATTTGTCTAACTATAGATGCTGGTCACAATTCTTGGTGATGGTTGCAACCATATTTGCAACATATAAAAATGGTTTGCGACCACTTTAGTTTCATTTTTTGGATTGCAACATGGAACACTACATCTAACCTATCAAGATTTTGACATCTTATAAAGCTATCCAATTTATTGATCCTTTTTAATCTCAACTATTCCATTATGTCATCTCGATCAATATATAATTGTCATCTTCCCTCTTTATACCATGTTTTGCTTACTAGCATTACATTTGTAATTTTTTTGGGATCTTTGATTTGCTTTATAATTTGACCAATTAGTTCTGATGGTAACTTAAATGCTAGAGGATTAATTTCTACATATTCTATGATCTCTCTTACCTCTACTAGGTCTCTGGTCTCAAATGGGTCTTTGCTATCATCTAGATAAGAAATTGCTTTTGCAATATAGTGATATGCTTGAATTATATATGCAAACATTTTTTGATTTCTTTTTATATAGATAGCAGAAATATTTAATTTGAAAATTTTATCAATTTATTAGTTTTCTAGTTTCATTATAGACATGCTATGCACATCTTGCTCATTTTACTTGCTCTCCTGTTAACTACTTGATGAAAACTTTTTTTTCTTGGATTAGAATACATAGTAAATTTAGCATATATCCTATAAAAAATAATGATATTGAAATTAGTATGAAAGAGGTCTCTGGAGTATATTCTGTATATACATGATATAAAAAATAATGCTATCGAAAAAAGTATGAAACAGGTGTCTGAAGAACCAAATAGTGCACTCTGTGCCAGAAACACCCATAGTACACAACAGAAATGAATAAGTCAGATGTAGGACAAATTCATGATTTTTTCAATGAGATGAGTTCTGAAGAAATCAAATGTTTTAAAATTAAACAAGCAAAGCTTTCAGTAGCTTCCTCACCTTGGTGCCCACCTTAAATGATACTCCTTTTTTTATGTTTAGTTAGAAATTAAATTTATTATATAATTGATGTATACTTTTAAAATACTTTTATTATTTTCCTAAAGAAATAGAATAATTTTAATACAGTTGACTATATCAAACCTGGCTATACTGAACTCTGGATAT